GGCTAGCAGGGGGCTGCGGGTCAGGAGTGAGGGGCACCGGCAGAGCTCAGAGGGGGATCCCAGGGGGCTGCGGGTCGGGAGTGAGGGGCACCGGCAGAGCTCACAGGGGGAGGGGGGATCCCAGGGGGCTGCGGGTCGGGAGTGAGGGGCACCGGCAGAGCTGCTTGTGTTTGGTCGGTCGCCTGGGTCCTGCACAATCCGGGGCTGTATCTGGTGTTGCTACAATGTCTCAGGAGGCTGGGGGCTGCACTCATTTGCATATATTTGCATAACTTTCTGTAATAAATACCCACAACCTTGATCTGGCGTGTTGGTGTGGGGAGGGGAGGGGAGGGGAGGGTCTGCCCCATGGGGCTCGCCTGGGGGTCAGTAACTGGGGGGTGTCAAGGCTGGCTGGGGGCCAGGTCACTCTGGTACTGGGTCCCCCCCGCCTGGGTTATTCTCAGCCACTGCCCGGGAGGGGCCTGGGGGAGTCATGGGGGAGGGGCTGCACCTGGGTGGGGGGCAGAGCCCCCCCAAGCCTCCCCCAGCCAGTGCCTCTCCCTTGGGCTGTGCCCGGCAGCTGCTCAGGGGTCACTGCTTGGCACCCCCCCCGGCATGCAATGGGCTCGTGAGCCCCGAACCCCCCCTCCCCCATTGCCCCCGGCTCACTCCATGCGCCCCACGCCCGGGGGGCCTGGGCACGATTCCCAGCAGAGAACAGACGGAGACGCGTCCCGGAGCCAGTGGCTACGGCTGGCGCCCGAGAACAGGCGGGACGGGACGGGCTGGGCTGGGTGGGGCAGCGCAGGGCTGGGACAGGATGGGACAGGGCGGGGCCCAGCCCCAGGTGGCTGTTCACATGAGGCTGGAGCCGGCTGGAGGCCCCTGGTGCTGGGGGGGGCCACACGCTGTCCTGTCTGGGGGTCACGGCCCCGGCCTAGCCCCTGCGCTGTCCCCATGGCGGCCCAGCCGCGCCCCGCTGGACGGGCCCCACGGCGAGTGGGCTGCAGGGCCAAGGGCAGAGCCAGGAACAGGGCTGGGGCCCTCCCGGCCGCCTGCCCGATGCTGCTGTGGGGGCCCCGCCTGGCAGGCGCCGGGAGCCGCACAATGGTTGGCGGGAGCCCAGGGTGGCCACCTCCTGCCCAGTCCCCTCTGCCGCCATGGCCTGGGCAGGCTGTGGGGGGGGGCAGGGGGGGCTGGACAAGGACCCCCGAGGCCAGGACCAGGCTGCAGGGGGGGGCCCAGGACCAGGCTCCCCGCTGGGCCCTGGCTCTCAGCGACGCCCGCACCGCCCCAGGCCAGGGGGAGCCCAGGCCCCATTCACACCTGGCGCTGCCCCACAGAGGGGCCCCGCAAGCTGGGCGGGATGGGGGGGGCTCCTGGCCGGGCACCTGCTCTTCCCTCCTGCCAGGCTGCGGGTGCTGGATCCTGGGCCTGAGTCCCCCCGGGCAGCTGCTCCCCCAGCCCCTCCCCGGGCCCAGCCGGCCCCCGCGGGCAGCGCCCCAGGCTGGTGCCGGGAGTCCCACGTTGCGTGGTGGCAGCGCCGGCCCCTGGGTGCAGGGGGAGCCCGGCTGCCCGAGCTGCGTCCTCTGCACCCAGCGCCTGCACCTCCAGCCCCTGCCAGCCCCTGGGGGAGCCCGGGAGCCCCCACCCAGCGTCACTTGCTGGGAATGGGCCTTAAACTGCCGGGGCCGGTGCAGCCACCTCTGGGGTGGAGCACGGGGGGGGGGCTGGTTAGACATGACCCCTCGCCTGGTGCAGCCACCTCTGGGGTGGGGAGGGGGGCTGGTTAACCGCTGCTGTCCGTGCCCGATGGACGCGCCCGGGGGAGGCCCAGCTGGGACGTCAGGTGAAAGTCTGACTGTGGGGCCTGGGGCCGGCACTGACTGCGAGGGGTGAGCACCCCCCTGACCCCTCCCACACCCCAGTGCAGCCCCCCCCCCCCGCCCCCCCCCCCCCCCCCCCCCCACCGCCACGAAACTGAGCCTCCAGCTCCTGCCACAGCAACGTTAAATGCTCTGCTGAGCGGCAGGCCCCCCTCCCGGAACTGTCCCCCCCCGCTCCCTCCCTTCCTGCCCCCAACCTGCTGCGCCCCACCCCCACAGTAGTGCCATGGGGCAGGGACCCAGTGACCCTGCCTGCCCCGGGCCATGGGACTGTGGCCCCTGTGCTGACCGGCCTGCGCCAACGGGGGCCAGGAGCCTGGAGGGGCCACACCCAACTCTGCAGGGCCCCCCGCTGCCCCAGTGGCCTGTGGAACTCCCCACCCCCAGGTCCCCGGCCGCACAGGGCCAGAGCGGGGTGCAGAGAAGGGTCTGGCCCCCCCCCCGCCCAGGGCACCAGTCACATCCCCCCACAGGGGGTGCCCCCTGGCAGTGCCCTGAGGTGGGGGGGAGGGGGTGATGGAGCCAGCAGCGCTTTGTGACCTCACAGCCTGGCCCCACACCCAGCTGGGCCCCAGACCTGGGCTCTCCAGGCAGGGCCAGTGCAGCCCCACGCCCCGCCCCCCACCATGGTGGACAGCGGGGCCTCGGTGCTGGAGATCGGGGAGGCCGATGCCAACTGGGCGCTGATCAGAGACAAGGTGGGGGCATGGCTGGCGGGGGTGGGGGCCACAGCCCAGGTTCTGCCTGTGGGGGGGGGTCACATGCCCAGCCCCACGTCCAGCCCGGGGGGAGCCCAGACCAAGGGTGCTCGGTGCTGGGAAGGGAGCCCCTGAGGTGCGCTGAGGGCAGAGCACCACTGTGGTGCTGGGGGCACACCCCAGAGCCAGCCGCATCTCCGGGCCGGGCCAGGGGTCCCCGTATAACCAGCCCCCATGCCCCACCCCAGAGCCAGCCGCATCTCCGGGCTGGGCCAGGGGTCATAACCAGCCCCCGTGCCCCACCCCAGAGCCAGCTGCATCTCAGTGCTGGGCCAGGAGTCCCCGTATAACCAGCCCCCCGTGCCCCACCCCAGAGCCAGCCGCATATCCAGGCCGGGCCGGGGGCCCCATATAACCAGCCTGTGCACGCTACACCAGAGCCAGTCACATTTCACCACTGGCTGTGGGGTCCCCATAGAACCAGCCCCCCTGCCCCACCCCAGAGGGGCCGCGGCTCTGGGCCGGGCGAGGGAGGGTCCAGCCATTCATCCTTCGGGCTGCGACTGGCTCGGTGGCCCACGAGGGGTCCCCGTCCCCAGCCCCTCCAACCGGTGCCATCCCGGCAGGTGGTCGAGGAGCGCTTTGGCCCTGCCGCGGTGCCCGTGCCCTTCCTGGAGGACGCGTCGGCCTACGACCTGCTGAGCGTGCTGGTGAGGAAGCCGGGCCGGGCACGGCGGCTACTGGGGCGGGCGCGGCCCCTGGTGCCGGTGGGGGCGCTGGCGCAGCTGGCGCAGCAGGGGCTGGAGCTGGGGGCGCTGGCGTGCTGCACGCGGGAATACAGGGCGCGGGGCGAGGCGCACTACGAGGAGACGCGGCTGGTGGCGGGCGCCCCCTGCCACATCCAGCTGCAGCTGGCCAGCGTGCACAAGAAGGTGGCCTTCCTGGCCCTGCGCCCCGGCCAGCTGGCCCTGCGCCCCGACCTGCCCTGGCTCCGCGGCCTGCGCAGCCTCTACCTCCTGCATGAGGTCTTCTACTGCGGCGGGCTGGCGCTGGCCGTCAGGCGGGGGCAATGCCAGCGCACCCTGCGCCTGCCGGGGCCCCGGCCCCTCGCCTTCTGCTGCCTCAAGTTCGCCCTCGGCCCCCGCGGCCTCCTCGGCCCCCAGAAACCCCTGGGGCCCGCGCTGCCCGCCAGGGCCGCCTGGCTCAAGCTGCCCGCGCCGGAGCCCCCGGCCCCTCCCGCCGAGAGCAAGAGCAGCCCCCAGGGCTGGAGCCCCTTCCGCAGGGCCAAGACAGGTAACGGGCTGGGGGGTCCGTGGGCCTCGGGGGGCGGGCATGGGGATCGTAAGGCCAGCCCCAGCCTTGGCCACTACTGGGGGACAGGTAACCCGGCCTGGGTGGGGGCCATGGGCACTGGGGGGCCCATAGGGGGCTGGGGGCACTGGGGGGCTGGGGGCACTGGGGGCCATGGGCACTGGGGGGCCCATGGGGGGCTGGGGGCCATGGGGAGCTTAGGACCAGCCTTGGCCCTCACTCCGGGGCAGGCAGCACTGGACTGAGCCCGGCCCCGGGGGTCGCCTGGCTCTGGGGGGTGGGGAACACGGGGTTATTTAGGGCAGCCCAGGGGCGGGGGATTCTGGGGGTCTCGGGGAGCCCCGGCAGGGTCCGGCTCGCAGCCTGGCTTGGCTCCCCTCAGCTCTGGGCCGGAGCGCGCCCAGCCAGTGCCCGCTCTAGGGCAGTACGGACCCCCAAGCGCCCTGCAACGCCAGCCCCCTCTCTGCCCTCAGGGAAGTGGCCGTTCGCCAGGCGCCGCGCCCAGCCAGCCGCCCCCCGGCGCGGGGACCCCGACCGGCACGCCATGTCCCTGCCCCTGCTGCCGAGTGCCGAGTCCGACAGCGACGGCTGAGCCGGGCCCCGAACCCCGGCCCGCCATGAAACACGGCATCTGCACTGAACCAGCTGGGCGTCTGCGTGTCCTGGGGTCCCAGGGCAGGGC